TCCTTGTTTGTAAGTGTGAGGTCCAGCAGATCATCTCCCCTCATTCACTCCTCAATCACCTATGTTAGGAATTTGTCATGGATGCTCTCCAGAAATGTCCTCGGTTGCTTGTGCCCTGCTGTGTTGTCCCTCCAGCAGACATCAGGGTGCTTATAATCCCCCACGAGAACCAAGACCTGTGAACGTGAGGCTTCTTCAAGTTGTCTGAAGAGCAACTGATCTTTGTGATATTTGTTCCTGATCAGGGGGTCTGTACCAGGCACCCACCACTGCATCACCCATGTTTGTCTGCCTGCTGATCCTGACCCATAAACTCTCAGCCATGTCCCCTCCCAAGAGGAGGCTCCATGCTTTCCTGCCATTCCTTCACATAAAGCGTATTTGGTTTTCTTCTCTTCCATCTGCTTGCTTTGTTTGTATTCTCTATACATTGCTTTTTAAATCTTAGAAGAACAATAACACAGACCTCTTCATATTGTGTTCTTTAACTTGCTATACATAGTATATCTCAAAGTCACTGTATATTTTATCAGCAGAAGGTCTTCAAGATTATTTGTTTGATAAATGGAAAATAATAAATTGTACAATGGAATACAGTTACATTTGACCAAAAATAGGTTACAGAGATAGTCTTGTCAGCGTTAATAACTAGTGGTGCCATTTCTCTTATACAGCACCTCTGTGACAGGAAAGCACAGCAAAGAAACAATATACTTATACTTCTGTAAATATGCTTTGTGAGTATTACTGCCTTGAAACCAATTTGTGAAAATATAGTCTTAACTAAAAACTTGTTGTATTGAATGTACGTTTATTGTTTTCCACTTTTAATGTCAGCAGAGTTCTTGCTTCTTGCTTGCTTTCTTCCACTTTTCAAATATTTTTAAGGATAAAATTATTATGCTTGGACATCCAGTTGCAGAGTGGGATCTGTAACATTTCTTACACACTGCATGTATTTCACTCTTAACTTTGGAGTGAGAGATAAACTATATTCATATTTTATGTTTAAAAAGGAACTAATATGTCAAAGACACATATCACATCATTGTTTGTAATGTGGTATTCATTCTCCCAAAAGTGGGGGACTTGTTTTGCCCTGTTTCTGTATTTGCTGCTTATGTAGTAATTTAGTCACCAAGACTGCTTAAGCGTGCATGGTTCATTGAAAGTCAAAACTCCTTTCCTGCAAAAGTGTCCTCATTTATACCTTGCTATTCTGCATAGTCACATTGTCAGGAGAAGCAGAATGGGTAACTGAGCACCTATGTGTTTTCAAGAGCCAAGACAATCACTAGAGAGCATAACCAAGTTATTTTGAAATGTTTCCTTTCTCTGATCCAGATTTCTTACGTGGACTGTGCAAGTACAACTAACAGTTGCTTGAAATGTGTCTCTAAGCTTGTTACTCTAAGCATACCTACATATAGCATTATATCACATGCATGTGTTTCTTTTCAATCAGGAGAAGCCCTTTAAAACACGGTGTGGGAACTCCTGGCCTTTGTCCTCCCAGCAGCCCTGTAAGCAATACTAGCGACCTCCAGCAAATCCCACAGCATTGGATCTTAGAGCCATGCGAAGGCCTGCCCTGGTGGACCCAGCTGAGGGACCCACTACTGCACGCCAGCAGCTGTGCTGGGAAATGCCTCTTGACCCCCAGCGTCGGTGTGTGCTGGTGAGGCGGAGAGCCACAGAACCAGCCCCCTCAGCCCCACTGCACTTGGCAGAGCGGTCGGGCAAGGGGAAGGCAGCGGCAGCTGCACCGATGACCACACGGCAGGCTGTGTTCATGGGGAGAAGTTTGACTTGTAGCTGGCTGGCTTTGATGGCTGCTGGAACGCTGTCCTTCCCATGGCACGCCACTGTGGAAAGCAGGTGTGCGAGCCAGGTGGGTGTATGTAACGATGACAAAATGTTCACGTATTCATCTGGCATGTGCAGTAACCTCCTGCCTGCCCAGGAGGGCCTGCCGGTGTGCTCACAGGACTTGGCATACC